ATTGCTTGGGTAGCATTGAAAATAGATTGGACAAATATTTTTGTTAGTGAGAATATTTTTGTTAAGTAGAAGGTATCTGAGGAGACAACTTGAAGTTAGCTCGCGGTCAACCTTCGTGAGAGAGCTGGCCGATTTTATAAGCATCGATTAAATACTGCCCAGAATTTCAAAGAATCTAATATTTGTATGGGAAACTAAACAGTTTTTCGCGAATAAGAAATTAATATAATCTCGTCGAGTCTGTTGCATCAAACAGCTTTATACAGTGCAATGTATTTGACGTGATAGCTAAGCCATTACGGGTAATGATTCAACAATACCTTCAAAAGGGAAAGCTCAAGTTGCCCTGTCGTATCTCCAGGGGCTTTTCCAGGGAGTGTTGGAACAATACAATGTAACACAACAGAATATATAATTCTATTGTAGCCTCAAGATAAGAAGACGACGACACGAAGAATAACCAGAATGTGATAAATTAGCAGAGGTGACGAAAAACATAACAGAGACAGTTTTTATAAATAACTTTAGAAGTAATGGCTGAGAGCAGAGGTGATCAGAGGACACTTCTCAATAGATACAAAGCTCTTAAGGACATATGTGTCAAGAACTATGCCATAAAATATATAGATATAAATATTTTTAAGTAAGATGGCCTATATTTAAGCGATGTGGGTAGTGGACGATTAAAATTAATTTTGAAGGAGTTGATACACGTGTTGGAGATGGTAAGACTGGAAGGAAAGACTCTGGCAATGGGAGGAGGAAGCGGACAGCTGCCACAAGAATTTGAGTAAGGTCAAGTAATTGAAATTTACCCAACTGGGAGAGACTAGAGGAGTAAATTACTTGTTTTTACTCAAAGGCTCACAGAATTAAAAAAAAAAATGGTCTACCCATGTTTTATCAAAAAATCCAGATATTTCTGCTCAAAGAGAATCCCGGTTTGTCCAAAAACCACCAAATTGTGTAATTTGCCCTGACTGGATACAATATTGGAAAAAACTCACATTCATTTAAAAGTGGTCGAGTGACTATATCAACATTGATCTGCATGAATCAGAAACAGAAAAAAATACGATGTACTAGTTTATAACAGTCTACATGTAGAAGTCCATTCAGTTTGCATGAACTAAGATCCGGTATTATTGGATCACGTAAATATACCTGAAGTAAATAATCCGGAACACTCAGAAAGCAAGAGAACCACAGATTAGCCAACATCATTGAAGATAACGAATATAAACTTTCTAATTTTCACAGATCAACAATATAAGGTATGATGGAGAGAGAGACACACACAAAGTAAATACATATCACAACATTACATTAAAATTAACATAAGCTTAAAGGTCAAAAGCAGCATTATGATGATTCCCAATAACAGAGCAGCTGAGTTCATGAGCCGGGATACCAGCAACGTTAATTGAATCCAACTGCTAAATAATGATAATATAGAACAAATACAGTGGACCCCCGCATAACGATCACCTCCGAATGCGACCAATTATGTAAGCGTATTTATGTAAGTGCGTTTGTAAGTGTATGTTTGGGGATCTGAAATGGACTAATCTACTTCACAATATTCCTTATGGGAAGAAATTCGGTCAGTACTGGCACCTGAACATACTTCTGGAGTGAAAAAATATCGTTAACCGGGGGTCCACTGTATTACATGGACAAAAATGAAAGGAAACCAGGTAGGATAACCAGTCACCTTGGAAATAAATGGTATAAAATACCGACACAATGGAAATATAAACACATGCAGTATAATGTGATCCTTTATTGACTACGTTTCGCCCACACAGTGGGCTTTTTCAAGTCACAAACAGAACTACCTGGGGTGGAAGGAACGCGAGTATTTATAGTCAGGTTCAGAATGTTGAGGCCAGGTGGAGAATGCTGCATCTGATGATGTACCGAGATGTACCCCACTCGGAACATCATCAGATGCAGCATTCTCCACCTGACCTCAGCATTCTGAACCTGACTATAAATACTCGCGTTCCTTCCACCCCAGGTAGTTCTGTTTGTGACTTGAAAAAGCCCACTGTGTGGGCGAAACGTAGTCAATAAAGGATCACATTATACTGCATATGTGTTTATATTTCCAACCAGTCACCTTGTTGAGATCATTGGCAAAAACAGTTACGGAGAGCAAAAAAAAAAAATGGTAAGAAATGCTAAACGAGAATTTGAAAGATTAAATTGAAAAAAGAAAATAAAGGCATCGTCAGTGTAAAAAGTGAAAGCATCAATAAGATCTTTAATTAGGAACAATTCAGCCTTGAGTCCCCAGCACACAAAATTTGCTCTCAAGATATGGCACAAACTAAGTACCGATGAAATTAACGGCCTTGACATAAACATTTTGTAGAAGCTGAATATTAACCAGTCATGTGTACTGGATGAAATATCTGCCAGAGTTATAAAAGAAAGTTGCTTCCAAATCGCTTGTCCACTAACGGTAACAATTAGCAAAGACATAGAACGTAAGGTGTCAGTTGACTGGAAACTAGCAAACTACACCATATTGAAAAAGGGGACAAGACTTGTGCTCTCAGCTGTTGTCCCATCAGCATAACGTCAATTATAAACAAACGAATGGAGCCTATTATAAAAGACAAGATTAGTAATTTTCGGGAAAATACTAACTGGAAACTAACATGGATTACAAAACTAAAGATCCGCCCTAACTTCTAACAGTTGTGGTATATCATGATATCCAGGCCATCGATAAGGTGCCTCATCAAAAATTTCCGACCTCAAAGACTGCTGACCAGAATAAAAGTAAATGGCATAAGAGACAAATTTCAGGATCGAATTAATTAAACTGGAAGACAGGACGCAGAGTGTGGTCTACAGCGGAGAGGTGAATGCAACACTTCCCGTAAAATAAATGGAGTTTCTCAGGTATATTTTTTTTGGTCTAATCTTGTTCACACTGTATATAAATGATCTCTAACTAGGGTTAATATCTAAAATAGCAAAATTTAAAGATGAGAAATAATTAGAAAAAAGTGCAGCATACACAGCAGTTTGAGTATTTAGAATGATCTGGAAATCTATGAGCTGCGGCCGGGGATGTGGAAGATAACTTTCAAGGTAGACAGGTGCAAAGAAATACATTTTGGGTATAACAATCTCAATGTTTGGCAACAAACTGACGGAAATAAAAACAGAAATGGTTCTTGACGTAATGTGTGCAAGAACGGTATATAATGCCGACAAGATGAAATTATGACACTTGTGCAACATCTGGGTATCTTTATTGTAGACGTTTCGCCATCCAGTGGCTTTATCAATACAAATTTTGGGATATAACTTGAAGACAGTAAGACTATGTACAGAAGATGAGGTAATCAGTCCCTCAACCTTGGAGTAGGTGCGAAGAGCACCATAGTCGTGGAGATTCTGACTGATTACCTCATCTTCTGTACATAGTAATACTGTCTTCAAGTTATGTCCTAGAATGAACATTAAAATGGTATGAAATACCGACAGATTGTTAGGTAAGACACATATGCAACAGTTAGGTATCTTTATTTCGAAACGTTTCGCCTACACAGTAGGCTTCTTCAGTCGAGTACAGAAAGGTTGATAGAAGCAGAAGATACTTGAAGACGATGTAATCAGTCCATCACCCTTAAAGTTTTGAGGTGGTCAGTCCCTCAGTCACTTCAACTTCATATTGTTTCAGACAACGGAACAATGCTCTTCTCCAGACTGAGGGACTGACCACCTCAAAACTTTAAGGGTGATGGACTGATTACATCGTCTTCAAGTATCTTCTGCTTCTATCAACCTTTCTGTACTCGACTGAAGAAGCCTACTGTGTAGGCGAAACGTTTCGAAATAAAGATACCTAACTGTTGCATATGTGTCTTACCTAACATTATGTCCTAGAATTTGTATTGATAAAGCCACTGGATGGCGAAACGTCTACAATAAAGATACCCAGATGTTGCACATGTGTCTTACTCGTCAACTTGTCGGTATTTTATACCATTATCAAGCTGACCTCAAAAATGCCAAGCTACGCCTAGCGATATATACCAAAGCTTACAGATTGCTAGGTGTCATTGAAAAAACTTCAAGCACAGAACACTATACTCCATATTGACTTCCTTTAATGCTCTTCCTATACCCCGTGTTGATCATGCCGTCCAGTGTTAGTCTCCAAATGACACAAATGACCAAGATATACCTTAGAGGATACAGAGACAAACTATCAAGTTCGTACCGTCACTCAGAAACTAATCTTCTGAAGAAAGACTCAAATCGCCTATCCTTGTTTCTCTTAGGAACAGAACACCTCATCCAAACCTTCAAGAGACTGAATGACTGTTATAGACTCAAGCATAAATTACTATTTAAAGTAATGAATGAGTTCATAACTCGAAGTAGTGAAATGAAACTGCCAGGAAGAAGAAGGTTTTGCTTTAAAACACAAGAATGGAGGAATACTCCAACATAAGAATGGAGGAACACTGCAGCAGGCTCACTGGTCCATATCAGACAATAAATTCTCAAATCCTGCCTTTCTGATTCAAATATTGTAAAAAAAGGAATAAATTACCCACTAATATCATTAGCGATTAGCAATATGGTCAAAAATAACCAGCAGGACAAACTCTGCAGGTATAGGATTCAACTAGATACATCGTGTCCTAATGGGAGGAGTATCCTGATCCTTCAGGAGCTACATGATAGAAATAAATCCATCAGCCACGATTCCTGGGTCAGCCCACATGGCTTTATGTCGGAAAATGTGACATTAAGTTATCGTGACCAGCATGATAGAAGGTATGGTGCAACTAATGTGACGTTTTGCTGCTGCAATGTTTCGCTCTCCAGGAGTTTGACTAAGCTCCTGGAGAGCGAAACGTTGCCACAATAAAATGTCACATTAGTTGCGCTTGTGTCCTTTTACTTTACATATTGTCGGTAATTCTACCAACATATATACAGGTCTATTCAATTTTAATTTTTATTGACAGGTGTGGGTAACTGCTACCACAGTAGCAGGGGAAGGCAGTCAGTCCTCCAGACTCACAGCCCTGCCCACCTCCACGTCTTCTCACCCTCCAATCGCTGTGGGCGGTGGGCGGTGGTGGCGGGTGGGTGCAGGATCAGGAGTAACGCTGGGCTGCAGGGGTCTGGGGTCCCCACCCCCCAACATCTCCTGGACGAAGGGAAGCATAACGATCAGTAGTGATCAAGTGATGCAGGTGCTGCCTGGCGGAGACCTACACCTCACTGGTGAGTTTTGCCAACTTGACTTCAAATCATACCACGGATGGGGTTAGAACCCGCAATCAGAGAGTCTCAAAACTCTAGACCGGCACGTTAGCTAACGCGTCGGTCTGGAGTTTTGAGACTCTCTGATCACGGGTTCTAACCCCACCTGTGGTATGTTTTGTTTGCAATCGTGTCATTATAATTTCGTGAGTCATATTGACTTCAAATGATTTAAAAAATATTCTGACAGCGTATTCTTGTCTAGAACATTAAAACAGTTATCAGTATGGAGAACAACTCCTTTAAAGTTATCAGAGTTCCATGTTAGATGTTTCAAATTATAATGGTATACAATGTTGACTAGTATGTAAATAAAATACACGTGCAACACTTGGGTATCTTTCATGATTCCCAAGTGTTGAGCATGTCTTATCAGCACGTCAGATACTGTTAGTGAACACGTCCTGTCACCGATGGTCCACACTGCACGCTGTTTGTTAAAGATTGTAACCCCTTCTGTATAAATTACTAAACGCAATAAAGAGGAACATATTTATACAGATGGAAAGTTTATATGTGCGTGGATGGAGTACAGAGGATAAAAAATGAGGTGACTGTCAATGTTATGAATGAAAAGAAGTTGGATGTCTTAGCACTAAGTGGAACAAAGCTGAGGGGAGTAGGGAAGTTTCCATGGGGAGAAATAAATGGGATTACATCAGATGTATCCGAAAAAGTTGGACCTAAGGAAGAGGTAGCAGTCATGTTAAAGGATTAGTTAAGAAAGAGAGATTTTTGGAAGGTGTTAAGCGAGTGTTTATGGAGTTGTGGGCCAAATGAGAGAATAATTGTGGTGGGGGACCTCAATGCTGAAGTGGGAGTAACTACAACCCCAAAATGATTGGCGTTTGAGCAACCAGTCACTATGCGAGCTCAACAGCATACAACAATGGGAGACACTCACCAAGGACTTCCTATACAAAACCAGACAAATACTCAGATGCACTAGTGAAGAGAAGAAACTTCTGAACTTGATACCCAGCAACCCTAAACCAGCACACATGTATGGACTTACTAAGACCCATAAACACAATATTCCTCTGATACGAATCACATCAGGTATACAGCGTACCACACATATTAGCTGGAGTGCATGCCAAACATCTTTTCTGCCTTCTGGGGACTATCAGCCCCGCTCAGCGAAAGTATTCAGTCGACCTCCTCAACTGCATCCGAGACCTCTCCATCCGTAACAAGAAACTAAATAGTTTGGACGTAACTTCCCTCTTCACTGAAGTGCTCACTACACAAGCCATTGACGTTCTCCGACGTAAAGTCAATCAAGACCTTAAAATTTCCTTATGTGAATGAATGGTTCAGAGAACCGACAAGTTGATAAATTAGACACATGTTCAACACTTGGGTGTCTTTAATGAGGAAACGTTTCGCCACACAGTGACTTCATCAGTCCATACAAAGGAGAATGGTGAAGGACAGGAGGAATTTGAGGAAATCAGTCCCTCAGCCTTGAAAAGAATATAACATACGTGCGAAGAGGAGAGGTGCAGCAGTCGTAGGTGGTATCACATTTGACAAATCCAGATGTGGAAGTCGGTCCTGCCTACTGTATGTAAGCCACTTCTTCGCACATATACTGTATTATTTTCAAGATTGATGGACTAATTACATCTGCTCAAGGCTGAGGGACTGATTACCCAACTCTCCTCCCGTTCTTTACCATTCTCCCCCATCAGTGTTGTCTTAGCTAACATGTATATGGAACACCTAGAAGCAGAACGATCGCCAAATTCATCTCAGTAACGTCGAGGACGACGTCCTCATAATAACTCTCAAACGTTTTGATATGCAGAATCTTCAGGGAAGTCTCAACGCAGTTGAACCGGTTATCCAGTTCATACTTCAAGAAAAGTCCAATGACAACTTCCCTTTTCGAAAAGTCCTCATTCACAAAGTATATATCACTAACCTTTCCCATTACGGGAAGCCTACAAGCAAAAACGATCTCACACACTTCTATTCCATTCAAGATACTAAACCAAAGGAAACATAATCATCAGATTTTTCCTAAGAGCATAGTACTGAATTTGTACTCCCGAGTTTCTTGGCGATAAGTGTACATACATACACCAAACCTTCACCGAGCTACATTTTCCTTCCTTTGTCATCAAATACTCCCAGAAATATCATGAATTTTCCTCACACTAATACTACTCCTAACGATGTTATATTATGTACAGCTGTGTATAGTGATCATTGTATTGTGATGACCAGCTGTCTGGTGATCATTGAGTTGCGATGACCAACTGTCTGGTGATCATTGTGTTGTGATGACCAGCTGTCTGGTGATCATTGTGTTGCGATGACCAGCTGTTCGATCATTGTGTTGTGATGACCAGCTGTCTGGTGATGATTGTGTTGCGATGACCAGCTGTCTGGTGATCATTGTGTTGCGATGACCAGCTGTTTGGTGATCATTGTGTTGCGATGACCACCTGTGTCTAGCCATCATCGTTGTGTTGTGATAACTAACAGTATCTAGTGACCATCTTTGTGTTGTGATAACTAACTATATCTAGTGACAATCATTGTGTTATAATGACTAGGTTCTTCTAGTGACCATTTTATTTTTATTATTGTTCTGAAACTTGTATTCTGATGGGATGATATATTTAAATCTGCCAAACTCACAGAAGATAATGATATAGCATAACCCACAAATAAATCTGTAATAGTTCAACCTTAACAGTAAGAAAAAATATTTTTTTCACCATTGTGTCTAACATAATCCACTTGATGATTGATGATGATGTAGTGATGACTGAAGTGATGAATCGTGTTATTGGATGGGTGGCAGATGAGTATTATGAAAATTGATCTGGTAGCTAGAGGGTCCTGCTGTTGTGATGACTGAGACGGTGGAGGGTCCTGCTGTAGTGATGACTGAGGTGGTGGAGGGTCCTGCTGTAGTGATGACTGAGGCGGTGGAGGGTCCTGCTGTAGTGATGACTGAGGCGGTGGAGGGTCCTGCTGTAGTGATGACTGAGACGGTGGAGGGTCCTGCTGTAGTGATGACTGAGGCGGTGGAGGGTCCTGCTGTAGTGATGACTGAGGCGGTGGAGGGTCCTGCTGTAGTGATGACTGAGGCGGTGGAGGGTTCCTGCTGTAGTGATGACTGAGGCGGTGGAGGTCCTGCTGTAGTGATGACTGAGGCGGTGGAGGGTCCTGCTGTAGTGATGACTGAGCGGTGGAGGGTCCTGCTGTAGTGATGACTGAGGCGGTGGAGGGTCCTGCTGTAGTGATGACTGAGGCGGTGGAGGGTCCGCTGTAGTGATGACTGAGGCGGTGGAGGTTCCTGCTGTAGTGATGACTGAGGCGGTGGAGGGTCCTGCTGTAGTGATGACTGAGGCGGTGGAGGGTCCTGCTGTTGTGATGACTGAGACGGTGGAGGGTCCTGCTGTAGTGATGACTGAGGCGGTGGAGGTTCCTGCTGTAGTGATGACTGAGGCGATGGAGGGTCCTGCTGTAGTGATGACTGAGGCGGTGGAGGGTCCTGCTGTTGTGATGACTGAGGCGGTGGAGGTTCCTGCTGTAGTGATGACTGAGGCGGTGGAGGTTCCTGCTGTTGTGATGACTGAGGCGGTGGAGGGTCCTGCTGTAGTGATGACTGAGGCGATGGAGGGTCCTGCTGTAGTGATGACTGAGGCGGTGGAGGGTCCTGCTGTTGTGATGACTGAGGCGGTGGAGGGTCCTGCTGTAGTGATGACTGAGGCGGTGGAGTTTCCTGCTGTAGTGATGACTGAGGCGATGGAGGGTCCTGCTGTAGTGATGACTGAGGCGGTGGAGGTTCCTGCTGTAGTGATGACTGAGGCGGTGGAGGGTCCTGCTGTAGTGATGACTGAGGCGGTGGAGGGTCCTGCTGTAGTGATGACTGAGGCGGTGGAGGTTCCTGCTGTAGTGATGACTGAGGCGATGGAGGGTCCTGCTGTAGTGATGACTGAGGCGGTGGAGGTTCCTGCTGTAGTGATGACTGAGGCGGTGGAGGTTCCTGCTGTTGTGATGACTGAGGCGGTGGAGGGTCCTGCTGTAGTGATGACTGAGGCGATGGAGGGTCCTGCTGTAGTGATGACTGAGGCGGTGGAGGTTCCTGCTGTAGTGATGACTGAGGCGGTGGAGGTTCCTGCTGTAGTGATGACTGAGGCGGTGGAGGTTCCTGCTGTAGTGATGACTGAGGCGGTGGAGGTTCCTGCTGTAGTGATGACTGAGGCAGTGGAGGTTCCTGCTGTTGTGATGACTGAGGCGGTGGAGGGTCCTGCAGTAGTGATGACTGAGGCGATGGAGGGTCCTGCTGTAGTGATGACTGAGGCGGTGGAGGTTCCTGCTGTAGTGATGACTGAGGCGGTGGAGGTTCCTGCTGTAGTGATGACTGAGGCGGTGGAGGTTCCTGCTGTAGTGATGACTGAGGCGGTGGAGGTTCCTGCTGTAGTGATGACTGAGGCGGTGGAGGTTCCTGCTGTTGTGATGACTGAGCGGTGGAGGGTCCTGCTGTAGTGATGACTGAGGCGATGGAGGGTCCTGCTGTAGTGATGACTGAGGCGGTGGAGGTTCCTGCTGTAGTGATGACTGAGGCGGTGGAGGTTCCTGCTGTAGTGATGACTGAGGCGGTGGAGGTTCCTGCTGTAGTGATGACTGAGGCGGTGGAGGTTCCTGCTGTAGTGATGACTGAGGCGGTGGAGGTTCCTGCTGTAGTGATGACTGAGGCGGTGGAGGTTCCTGCTGTAGTGATGACTGAGGCGGTGGAGGTTCCTGCTGTAGTGATGACTGAGGCGGTGGAGGTTCCTGCTGTTGTGATGACTGAGGCGGTGGAGGGTCCTGCTGTAGTGATGACTGAGGCGATGGAGGGTCCTGCTGTAGTGATGACTGAGGCGGTGGAGGTTCCTGCTGTAGTGATGACTGAGGCGGTGGAGGTTCCTGCTGTAGTGATGACTGAGGCGGTGGAGGTT